AAAAAAAAAAAAAAAACCAAACCCGTTGCACTGAGTTGATTCCAACTCATAGCGACCCTATAGGACAGAGTAAAACTGCCCCCACAGAGTTACCAAGGAGCGGCCAGTAGATTCGAACTACTGACCTTTTGGTTAGCAGCCGAGCTCTTAATTTCTGAAAAAGGAAAGGTCCAAATGTCGAAGAGGAACATCAAAGCTCATTTTAAAACCCCCTTTGCTCCCAGAAAAGGAATCTGAGATTTCTTAATTTCTACAGATACCTGATAGGACCTGGCACTCAAATGTATTTTAGCAAAACAATTCCTAGACACAGGCCAGGTCAATAAAAACCCAGAGTCAGGATGAAACCTAGGAAGACAGATTTCAATCAGCTCAAGAAGGGTTTGCATTCTCAGTACGACCCAAATAGCATTATCCCTTAATGCAGTCTGCATCATTTGGTCTTTCTGGGTGGAGAAGAAAAGGCAAAGGGCAATATTTCCACAGAGCAGCATGTTCTTATTCCACTTAGACTAATTTTCTTTTATGTGTGCAAACTCAAGAGATAGGAAAATGTACTTTTAAGAACTAAATTCTTACCCTTTAATCAGAGCTTTACAACCTAAATAAATTAATCACTGAGTAGGAAAACAATCACTTTACAATCATGCCCACCCCTCCCCTTCCTCCCCTGCGAAAAACCTTGAATAGACTAAGTGAGCAATGCTTCATTACACTTCATTTACTGGTAACAAGAACAGATTCCAAAATGCCTTTTCAGAAACATCACATTATATACATCTTTTCAAATTAGGATCTCAAATATTATTAGCTACCAGATGTCTTTCACTTTATGTACCTTATTTTATTTAAACTCCAAAACAGCCCAGCAAGGTAGATGGTAGTACCTCCTTTTACAGAAGAGGAAACTGAGGCTCTTAGAAATTAAGTAACTTGCTCAAGATGACAAAACCAATAGGCAGCAGCCCAGAATCCAAACCCAGGTCTGCTTCCCACCCCCACCCCCAAAAAAATCTGAGGTAGAGTATCTTCCTATTTTGAAGATTGGAAAACAGAATTTTAAGAGTGGGTCAAAACAAAAGCTGATGTGTTCCACTACCCCAGGTCAAACTGCTTCTCCACCATTAAGGCCCAACAGCTGAAGAAAAGCTCCCACAGGGCCCTCTTCTGCCCAGCATGTATTTAGCTTCATTTGTTAAATCAGTATTTCACAAAGAAAGGCATGAAATATCTGACTTGTATTTGGAAACACGCACAAGTACCTTGTTTCCCTTCCCTGAGGCAGCTGTATTGAGAGCAAGTGAAAGGGAGCTATGTGGATAATGCAGCAACTCAACCAAACTCCAGACTGTTGACAAAAAGCAAACCTCATCTGAATAAAACCTCTGATCAAAAATGGCAGGTGATGGGGTAAAGGTGAATGAAGAACATCAAAGACATAAGGAAAGCGTTAGCCCAAGAGACAGAAAGGGCCACATAAACCAGAGACCTCATCAGCCTGAGACCAGAAGAACTAGATGGTGCCCAGCTACCACTAATGACCACCCTGACAGGGAACACAACAGAGACCCCAAATGGAGCAGGAGAGAGGTGGGGTGCAGAACTCAACTTCTAGTAAGAAGACCAGACTTAATGGTCTGAGACTGGATGGAGGAACCCTGGAAAGCATGGCCCCTGGATTCTCTATCAGCCCAGAACTAAAATAATTTCTGAGGCCAACTCTTCAGACAGGGATTGGACTGGACTGTGGGACATAAAGTGATACTTGTAAGGAGTGTGCCTCTTAGCTCAAGTAGATACAAGAGACTATAATGGGCAGCTTCTGTCCGGAGGTGAGATGGGAAGGCAGAGAGGGTCAGGACCTGGTTGAATGGACATGGGGAATCAGGGGTGGAAAGGAGAAGTGTGCTGTTACTGTATGGGGAGAGCAATTAGAGTCACATAACAATGTATGTATAAATTTTTGTATGGGAAAAAATAAAAAAATAAAATGGCAGATGAGAGCACTGAGGAAAGAGGCTACCATCACCACCCAACTGACAAAGCTTAAAGTAGTGAGGGCCTGAGGGGCGCAGAGGCCGGCAGGGCTGCGTGCTCATCACCAGGCCCATCAGACCACTGCCTGCCCAGCCTCTTGGGGAGGGAGACTCAAGGCAAGTGCCCGCTGGGTCCTGCAACACCATCTCCTATTTCAGAGCCCTTCCGAGAGTCAAGGTGACCAAGCAGAGAGAGAAGCTACCAGCTGGGAAGAAATGCACAAACTCAAGGAAGTAAGAGGGGAGTGGCAAGCGACAGCTTTTAAAAGAGTAAAATGGAGTCACCTGTGCCCCTTTCCCCACATCTCCACCACAAGCTATCAAAACCTGAAAGAAAATCAGATTCCACTTAAAAGAAATACAGAAAGTAGACTCAAAAGCTTGAGAAGAACATTCAGGAAGTATAATTTTTTGTGTGTGCATATTAAAAAGCCAATCTGTGTGACATCTTTTAATTGCATTTTTCTTTATTAATAAATCACAATAGCAAATTAAGCACATAACATAGTCCCTTCTACGTCCTCATTTCTGCTGCTTCTATGCTTTTCAGACGTTCCAGAAAAAGCACCCAACCTTTCCAGAATTAGTATGGGTTTTAAAAATAAAACCCAAACCCAGCACAACTGCATTTTCCCAATCCCAGACAAGCCAGAAGCAGATGGGACTGCAGCAGACAGTGAGAGTGATGAGAAGGTGCCTGAGCGGGCAAGAGTGGAAGCCAGAGAGGACCAAAGAGGAGGTGCGGCATGGAGAAATGATGCAGAGAAATCCTGGCAGCAAAGTACACACCTTGGCATTGATATAACGGTCAAAGGGGCCATACTTTTTGAATTCTTTGATCTCAAGAGCATTCTACAAAAAGGAGAGGAAAAGAAAATGTGATGATGAAATGGATGAAATATATCAAAGCAATGCATAGCCCTGAGGGGTCCCAACACTAGAACTAGTATTTGCCCTTTGGGTGCCTCAAAAGGAAGTTAATGGGAAAGACAACCTCCAGGGCACCGTGCTCATCTCCCCCTTTTATCCAAGTATCCAATTGGAACCACATTAATGGCTTTTAAATAAATCAATGTAGTAGCTGTAACTACTACCTAGATCCATTATGTTCTTCAAGCTACTGCAGACATCTTGCCCAGGCCCTGTCCCCACCCACCTGCCTGCCAGATTTTCAAAGCACGGCTGGTGTCCCACCTATCAATGGATACTCTGGGCAGGAAGCAGCTGTGAGCAGGACAAGCTAGCACATTCAAGTGTCTCAAAAATCCAAGCAGCTGTGTTCCAAGTCAAACGTGAGCAAAGACAGGATTAGAAATGGTTGCTGGAAATTTCTTAAATGAGAAGGACTTTAACAGGTGAGCAGGTTTTTCAACATTGAGGAATATTAAAAGCAAACTTCCTTATAAATTTCCTCCAGATAAGAGAAATTACCCCTTTAGCTAGGAGGAGTAAAATCACATTTATATTCTAAAGAGGCAATTCTAAAGAGAAAACTTGTATTCCCAAATGTTATAAACAAACAAACTTACTGATGATCTTAAATGTCTGCTGCTCACCTACCCAAAATATATAGCCCAAAAGGGGAACGGGAAGCTGAGTAACAGCTATACACACACAATCTCCCAATCAAGAGATTTGGGAGCACTACTTTAATTTTCTTATGCCTCAGAGTGAATCTGCCCTTCTCAGAATTGAAGTCATGCTCTTAACAGCTCACGGAGAACTTGCACTGGTCTCACTGACAGATGGACTCACCAGATTGATTTCCTACTTTTTATGGAATAACGGTGATCTAATCCTGCAGGTAATTTAACAATCTCCTCTCAGCAAAGTCGTTAGGAAAACAGTCTTAAGCTAATTAAGAAAGAGCAGCATCGTCCTCATTCAAACAGCTGAGAGAAGTACCTGCTTCAGTTCAGATCAGAGCGGAAAACAGAGAATGGTCTGGCATATAGGAAAGTCCATCTCCTCTCAAATGGGCATATAACCTCAGATCCAAACTACCAGAAGTTGTATTTTATGAGAGGCTTGTCTAAAACTTGCATAATTCATGTATAATTTTCCCAAAGGAATAAATGTAAAGAGGAGATATATACTCAGAGTACTAAAATCCATGATCACTATAAGGCAGTTTTGCTCAAATATTGCCTTTTTCATTTTCTCATAATTATCTTTGCTCTTTCAACACAAGTTCACTCCTAAAATTAACATCAGAGAACATCATGGAAGTGATCCTCATTCTGACTTGCATTTATATTTTTGAATTGTGAGTTCATTTTTCAGAACTAGCACTAGTACTTCCACTTCTGCAAATTCTGGCGTGTGTGAAAAGCAAAACAAAACAGAAAAAACAGTATGGTTCAGACAGTGCTGACAAACACTAGTTATTTTTGTTTACCAGCTAAAGTTGCATTGCCATGTTGATGGCATAAGCACAGTTTATAATTCATTAAAGTCCACCAGTTTGAAACAGACTCTATGCACTTTTGCACTATTTCAATTTTGAACATGAAGTATTTATATGTTTATTATAGGACTACTTCAAATCTGTATGATTCAAATGCACAGAAAATACATCCTCATAGTATAAGGTTCCCCTGTAACACTAAGAGAAGTAAGTAGAGCTAGGTGGAGCAGAGTCACATGTGGCATGGGGGAGGAGCTGGTTCCAGATTTGAGCTATAAGACTCGATGGTAATAGGGCTGCCAAGGTCTGGCTGTAGCTGAATGGAGAGAAGCCTCCCTTCCTTCCGACCTGTTCATTGACTTTGGTGTGGGAGGGCCCTTGATGGATGAGCAATCGTACTATCTGGGCATCTCCTTTCCAGGCTGCCAAGTGCAGAGGGTAACAGCCTTTACAGTCAGCCACGTTGGTCAGCGCATCGTTCCTCAGAAGAACCTCGACCACATCCCTAGAAGGCAAAAATCAATCATGAGCTTGCAGAAACTCACAAGTCTTTCCAGCTAACCCTTCTTTACATTTGCATAACATGCAGCCCTTTCACGGATGCTATTTCATTTGGCTCCCCTATCTGTACCTGAGTTCATTGCCCAGGCTTGTCTTTTTATTTCATGAACTACTTGCACAGCAGCTGCACCATCCTGAACCACACTACACTGACTCATCACCTGCCCCACTTATCTAGGCTTTCTTGATAAACCATCTACTTTCCACTACTTTGAAAATGTCTGACCCCTTGTCTAAACCTTGCAGTGTCTCCTTGTTTGTAATGTTTAGACAGCATTCAGGAATAGAATTTACATAAAAGTAGCCATGCAAGACAAACATCATTATTCACCTCATTATTCAGAGCATTTAGTGATGTGGGAACTGAAAGGGACGGGTGGAGTAGAATTAAAGTTGTTGTAAACATAAGCCAGACACACATGGTATCATTTGATATTGCCAGAAAGAGGGACTTAGCTTTCTTCTTGGTGACACCACTAATTAAGCAGATATAAGTGCATAATTATCCCCAGGCACATGAGGTCAAAGAAAAACCCCTCTGTAAATAAAAACAACATCTGGAGATGAACTTGGCTAACAAGCTACAGTCTTTTAAGTTCAAGATTCATTTAAATTCAGGATACCTCACTATTTTAAGGGAGAAGGGGTCTTTACAGATTTCTTTTTCGCTTTTTCTGAAATGGCTACAGAAAAGACATAATAATCACACTCAATATATTTTAGAAAAGTTTAATGTTGAAGGAACAAGAGTCAATTAGGCTGGGCCAAATAGTACACAAACCCCATTGGGGTGAGTCGATTCCGACTCACAGTAACCCTATAGGATAGAGTAGAACTGTTCCATAGGGTTTCCAAGGAGCAGCTGGTGGATTCGAACTGCTGACCTTTTGGTTAGTAGCCGTAGCTCTTAACCACTACACTACCAGGGCTCCCATGTACCTATAATCACCACTAAATAATCAGTCAGCATTTGCAGTCTTCCAAATACCACCTATGCTGATCCAACTGACCCAGAATTCCTGGGTATTCAGAAGCAAACTCCAGAAGATACTTCTAGATATCTAGATAGTGGTTAAGACAGCTCTTAACCACTGTGTCACCAGGGCTTCAAAAACAGTATACAAGTGATATAAAATACCATAAAGTGTTGAGGGTCTTGTTCCTTGCTCAGAAAAATCTAACATGATTTCTGATAAACACTTCTCATAAAAACTCTCTCTAACACCCTCTGTTCTGTTACAGTCTGGTTTACACTCTTCTACATCATGGCAAACCTACTCATTGTGCTCCACACACAACCGTCCTTGCCCCTTCTCTGAGCCATCAAATTCTCCCTCACTTTGAAGGTCAGCGCCCTCCTTGGGCTGCCAAATCATTTAAGCCTATGCCTTCTTCTTTCAAATTCCCCCCAAAGCTCACCTTCTCCAGAAAACTTTCCACACAAATCCCATCCAATTCCTAATAACTTCTCTATACTTAAGAGAATTAAATAGGCCATATTATTTATGTGTGCTTGTTTGTTTCACTTAAAAATGGCTCTTATTGTCTACAGGGCTAATCTCATGAGGAAAGAATAGCAGGCAAGGAGAAAAGCAAACAAATAATTACTTTAACAGAAAACAAGCTTCTCATGACCACTCAATCCATTTTCAGTTTTTCAAGAGACTAATCACCCAATAGATTATTCAGCCTCTTTATGATTTGGCTGTCCCAAATATGAACTTCATTATTTGGATCATTATGTGGCACTGGAACATTCCAGAGGGGAAAAAGGCAAGCAGAAGAAAAGGTGAAACTCAGTTAACCTTTGGTTAAAGGTTTTTTGGAGGGTGCGTATGTGTGTTTGTGCGGGGGAGGGAAGGATGTTTTTAAGTTATGCACTCAAGAGAGACCAGGGAATTCTGGATGAATTAAATTTAGTTTGTTTTTCTCTGTTTCTCAGTGCCACTGCTTAGTGAAATTCTCACAGGAAACAAGAAGGACAACCCGAAGGTCTGGGTTCTGACGGCTGGGGCAGGAATGCAGCATATTAATACTTACTTGTGGCCATTCAAAGCGGCATGATGCAGAGGTGTATACCCAGTGCTATCAACACAGTTCACATTTGGCCCTCTCCAGATGCTATAGGGGGAAAAAAAAAAAGAGATTTCACAGACTGAAGTCACAAACCAAATTCAGAGACAGGTGCTTAGGAAAGATTCCTATACAGTGCTTAACCAAACTGGCTACTTCCAAATGACTCCTGATAAAAGACGGCAGCTATTTGCTACAGAAATGCATAGCACTGAGGGCGTACAATGGTTTCCTGAACCAGGATTAAAGTGTTAAGACAACAGTAGCATCATTTAAGAGCTTGTTCTTCTGCATCCTTCTCCTCATCTGTAACTTCATTATTCACTCAGTCTGGGACTTGTGCCTCTGAGTACTCCAGGATTACAAAAATAGCTCATTGAAAGGTCATCAAAAATATCACTGAACCAAACTAATCAGCTAGCCACAGGTACTGGACACCAGAGCAGTGAGTACCCACTCCTGTGCTGGTGACTGAAGACTTGAGAGAGACCTCAATACAGCCAGCAAGAACCAAGATCAAAGAACTCACATTAACAAAAACATGAGGGTACACGTGTTAAGAAGCAAGAGACAATTTTGTCTTTCCTTTGTGAATATGTCTTATGGGTAACAAAAAGAATAACAAAAGAGAATGATCTGAATAAGATATATCATAGCTGTTGTTAGGTGCCATCAAGTCGGTTCCTACTCATAGCGACCCTACGTACAACAGAACGAAACACTACCCATTCCTGTGCCATCTTCACCACCGTTGCTATGTTTGAGCCCATTTTTGAAGCCACTGTGTCAATCCACCTTGTTGAGGGTTTTCCTCTTTTTTGCTGACCCTCTACTTTACCAAGCATGATGTCCTTCTCCAGGGACTGGTCCCTCCTGATAACATGTCCAAAGTAAGTGAGACCAAGTCTCACCATCCTTGCTTCTAAGGAGCATTCTGGCTGTACTTCTTCCAAGACAGATTTGTTCATTCTTCTGGCAGTCCGTGGTATATTCAATATTCTTTGCCAACACCATAATTCAAATTCTGTCTTTCTTATTCATTGCATGCATATGATGCAACTGAAGTACCATGGCTTGGGTCAGGAGCACCTTAGTCCTCAAAGTGACATCTTTGCTTCAGAGAGGTCTTTTGCAGCAGATTTGCCCACTGCCACACATTGTCTGATTTCTTGAATGCTTCTTCCAAGAGTGTTGATTGTGGATCCAAGTAAAATGAAATCCTTGACAACTTCAATCTTTTCTCCGTTTATCATGATGCTGGTTATTGGCCCAGTCGTGAGAATTTTTGTTTATGTTGAGACGTAATCCATACTGAATTCTGTAGTCTTTGATCTTCATCAGTAAAGTGCCCAAGTACTGTTTGCTTTCAGCAAGCGAGGTTGTGTCATCTGCATATCACACGTTGTTAATGAGTCTTCCTCCAATCCTGATGCCGCATTCTTCTTTGTATAGTCTAGCTTCTTGGATTATTTGCTCACTATACATGTTGAGTAAAGGATACAACCCTGTTGTACACCTTTCCTGATTTTAAACCAGAGTATCCCCTTGTTCTGTTCACATGACTGCCTCTTGGTCTATGTACAGGTTCCACATGAGCACAATTAAGTGTTCTGAAATTCCCATTCTTTACAATGTTATCCATAATCTGTTATGATCCACACTGTTGAATGCCTTTGCATCGTCAATAAAATTCAGGTAAACATCTTTCTGGTATTCTTGCTTTCAGCCAAGATCCATCTGACATCAGCAATGACATCCTTCATTCCACGTCCTCTTCTGTATCCAGCTTGAATTTCTGGCAGTTCCCCATCGATGTACTGCTGCAACCACTTTTGAATGATCTTCAGCAAAATTTTACTTGCATGTGACTTTAATGATATTGTTTGATAACTTCCCCATTCCGTTGGATCACCTTTCTTTGGAATGGGCACAAATATGGATCTCTTCCAGTCAGTTGGCCAGGAAGCTGTCTTCCAAATTTCTTGGCATAGACTAGTGCGCACTTTCAGCGTTTCACATTTGTTTGTTGAAACATCTCAGTTTTCTGCCAATTCCTGGAGCTTTGTTTTTTGCCAATGCCTTCAGTGCAGCTTGGACATCTTCCTTCAATACCATTGGTTCTTGATTATATGCTACCTCCTGAAATGGCTGAACATCAACCAATTCTTTTTGGTACAATGACTCTGTATTCCTTCCATCTTCTTTTGATGCTTCCTGAATCATTCAGTATTTTGCCCATAGAATCCTTCACTATTGCAACTTGAGGCTTGAATTTTTTCTTCAGTTCTTTCAGCTGGAGAAATGCTGAGCATGTTCTTCCTTTCTGGTTTTCTAACTCCAGGTCTTTGCACATTTCATTATAATACTTTACTATGTCTTCTTGTGCCACCCTTTGAAATCTTCTGTTCGGCTCTTTTGCTTCATCATTCCTTCTGTTCACTTTACCTACTCTATGTTCAAAAGCAAGTTTTAGAGTCTCTACTGACATCCATTTTGGTCATAGTAGGGAGGCTGAAATGTAACCTTATTCAGCCTTCAAAGCCTTAATTTTTATTTCTCTTTCACACCTTTCTGCACTGGCCAGGGCTTCTAAAATAATACTAAATAACAGAGGGTGGCCTGTTTTGTCCTTCCTTTTAATGAGAATGCCTCTAGTGTTTCTGAAGTTAGTTTGAGGTAAACACTCTGTATCATGTAAAATAAGTACATTTTTTTTCTTTTTAAAGTGTTATTAAAAATAATTGTTTATTTACATTTTCTGCATCTGTGGGGACAATCATAATTTTTGACATTTAATCAACTAATATTTTACCAATAGATTTCTTAATATTGACTGTGAGGCTGATCTAAAGTTTTCACTTTTTGTGCTATGTGATTGAATGGTTATCTGTGTTGGCTGTGGGTCATAATGAACCGGGCAGCTTTCTACCCATTTCTATATTCAGGAATCACTGACATAGAGTATTAAAATTACAGAGAAAAATGGTACCACCACTATGGAGAACAGTATGGCGCTTCCTCAAAAAGCTAGAAATAGAAATACTTTATGATCTAGCAAGCCCATTCCTAGATATATACCCTAGAGATCTAATAGCAGTGATACGAACAGACATATGCACACTATGTTCATTGCAGAATTATTCACAATAGAAAAAAGATGGAAACAACCTAACTGCCCATCAACAGATGAATGAATACACAAATTGTGGTACATACATAAAATGGAATACTATTCAGCTATAAAGAATAATGGTGAGTTCTCAAAACATACTATAACATGGATGAATCTGGAAGACATTATGCTGAGTGAAATAAGTCAATCACTAAAGGACAAATATTGCATGGTCTCACTTTTACAAAAAGACAAGAATAGATATACACACAGAAAGCAACATTCTTTGATGGTTACCAGGGATGGGAGAGGAAGGGAAGGGGAATCATTTTCTAGTTGGCAGACAATTGTTATGTTTGATGATGGCAAAGACTGTACCCAACGTGGGTGAAGTTTACACAACTGGACCAAGGCAAATGATGACAATAAGAAGTATATAAGAATAAGGGATAATTTTGGTAAATGCTATAACATATACAATTTTGCAACAACAGTAATGAGAACCAAAAAATATGTGTGTAGTTACATAAGTAGATATGTATGCATATATGTGTATAAGAAGGCATATGTGAGTATGTGGGTGTGCATGTATAGTTGTATCTGTAGGTGTATGTATATACATGATTGCGTGTGCTGCATATATATAATAAAGCACATAGGGGCACAATTGCAGATATTTCCTAGACATACCTAAACACTTTGAGGGTTTGGTTTACTGCATTTAAAGACTTAGGACCATAGTCATGGGGGAAAACTCGGTTAATCTGCATAGTATAGTTCATAAAGATATTGTTCTACATCCTAATTTGGTGAGTAGCATCTGGGGTCTTAAAAGCTTGTGAGTGGCTGTTAGGATTGAGTTGTGTTCCCCAAAAATGTGTGTCAACTGGGCTAGGCCATGATTCCCAGTATTGTGTGACTATCCACCATTTTGTCATCTGATGAGATTTTCCTACATGTTGTAAATCCTGCCTTTATGATATTAATGAGGCAGTATTAGAGGCAGTTATGTTAACAAGGCAGGACTCAATCTACAAGATTAGGTTGTGTCTTAAATCAATCTCTTTTGAGATGTGAAAGACAGAAGCGAGCAGAGACGTGGGGACCTCATACCACCAAGAAAGTAGTGCCAGGAGAAGAGCACATCCTTTGGACCCGGGATCCCTGCCCTTAGACCAGGGGAAGATTAATGACAAGGACATTTCCCCTGACCCGACAGACAGAGAAAGCCTTCCCCTGGTGCTGGCACCCTGAATTGGGACTTCTAGCCTCCTGGACTGTGAGAGAATAAATTTCTGTTTGTTAAAGCCACCCACTTGTGGTATTTGTGCTATAGCAGCACTAGATAACTAAGACAGCGGCCATCTAAGATACAACTATTGGTCTGTATTCATCTGGAGCATAAAAGAAAGAAGGAAACCAAAGATTCAGAGAAGAAACTAGGCTACAGGACTAACAGCTCACACAAACCATGGCCTCATCTATCCTGAGACCAGAAGAACTAGATGCTGCCCAGCTACCACCAACAACCATTCTAACCAGGGACACAACAGATGCTCCCGGATAGAATGGGAGAAACATATAGAACAAACCTCAAATTCCTAAAAAAGTCCAGACTTACTGGACTGGTAGAGACTAGAGGATCCCCCAAGACTACTGCCCTGAGATACCCCTTAAACTTGGAACTGAACTCACTCCTGGAGGTCACCTTTCAGTCAAATAACAGACTGGCTCATAAAATAAACACTATCACTTGCTAGCACTGTGCTCCTTTAAATAATCATCTCTATGAGACCAAACGGTCAATACTTACCATAAAACAAAGATGAGAACGTAAGGGGGGAGGGGGTAGAGATGCTAAATTAATGGAAAAAGAACAATCAGAATGGAAATGAGAATGCTGACGCATTGTGAAAAACGTAACCAATGTCACTGA